AGAGTAAATCGCATACACATATAGGGTATTTTAAGAAGTAATTCAAAAAGGCTATATTACTGGAAAACAGGGATTAATATGTGGGATGTATCTTTCGGTAACTATGAGCAATTTGTCTGTGGTCTTAAGGTTTTTGAGGGATAATGACGTACCAATAAAGAACCGGGCTTACCGATGTTGAAGAATTACCTCTATCTACGAACCGCCATAATTTGTGTTTCATGTTGAAAAAAAACATTACTCACTGGAAGCTTCCTCATCGCCCCCCCTGCAAAGGCCGTCATGGCGAACCGCTCGGGAAGCAGAATACGCTATTTTCTACAAGATACTGCCAGACTTCACGTTGCAAATGGAATTCGTGGAATATTGTTGAATCTCAAATTACCCCACATCCATATTGATCAAGGCTTCCTGATTGACAGCGAAGTGGGTGACTGTCAGTGTATGTTGTACACCTAGCGTAAACTTTCTAAAAACACGTTGAAGAAGGCATGTAGAACGGAGTTCCTGTTCGGCTGGACAAGTGGACAATGTTTACTATCGGCTTCGAATTCGAGTGCACCCATACTGCAGTTTGCATTGCCTACTGATTGTTCTGTGCTAACCATTACCAGTGATAACAAAACTCGCTTAAGCGGTCAACGTAAGTGCATTAGAGGCAGCTAACGCTACAACAGTTATGGGAGTGCTGTAACTGACTTCTTGTTTGTTGACTTCATGCCCGCTTTCAAGTACCCATTGCTGTCAGGTGGACTAGAACTTTACAGTGCTTGTCTGCTCTGTTAAAAAAGTTGGAAACTTATAGAAAGTCGACTATTTTTATAGGCTACTTGAGTAGTACCATCCGCACAGTGGAATCAATGGCGTGGTTTAGAATATTCTTAGTATATTTTTGATTATCAGAAAAAGGTCTCGACTGAAATACAAAATCAATAGTTAGGACAGTGTTTCGCGGGTTTACGCACACTGTGTAGTCTCTGCCACTGGTGTTCCTAAATATGGGCATTTTGAGCCCCATATATGTCCTGCGTTGTTGGGCGGATATTTGAGTCACTTTTATCCATCCATAACCGTGCGACAATTTTCCTCAACAGTAGCTCTTTACCAGGAACTCGTCGATTTTGGCTGGTGCTACCTTTATCCTTCATCCGGTTTTTATCCTCATTAATTTTTCTTTTCTGCATACCTTTTTTCTTATTCAAATTTCTTTCAGGTATTCGACTTTGCCTTGACGACCGCAGAGATGGAAACTCTCAAAGCAAACAGCCGCAACTGTCGTCTCTTCAAGATCCCTTCGTATGTTTTTCTTATATTTTTCTTCTAACTAACAATTTTATTTTAAGAATGGCAGGTCACCCGGAGTACCCATTCAATGCGGAATATTAGTTTCATTCAAATTAACCGGTGGCCCGGCTGCATCTTTCCTCCAGGCCCCTTTCTTAAACCTTTTTTCAATTTTGGGTGCACTTAAATCTAGTCTTCTAATGATGAATTTATTAAAGTTTCGCCAATTATTTGCGGCCTTCTTAAAGAGCAGACTAATGAACCACTGACGGCATGTGGAATGTAGAGGGGTGGGGTTAAGGACACTTCCACGGTGCAGCATGTTCATCAAAGTTAAATTCTGATTGCGACGCTGATACACATCGATGGGCCAGTTCTAAGATTCTGCCTCCTTAGTGGAGGTGTGGTTAGATCGAGCATTGCGGCGAACAGTAAGGTTGCTGCCCAAACTGTCAGAACAACCAGGATCTGTGCCCGTCACCCAAACCGAGTTGTACGAGGAAGTAGGATCTCTCATGGCTTTCTCCTGGGCTGCGTGGGTGAAGTGATTGTTGGTTGCCTGGGGTGTGGCTGTCAGGTCTGCTATCTTATCGGCTGCTCCGTCGGGTGGGGAGCTTTCCAGACAGTCGTTTGATTTCACTATTGCATCCGTCAAGTATACCGTAGTCGTCCCGCTATCTCTGTAGGGGCATTCGTGCGGAACCTGATGAGCCGGAAGAAGTAGAATTGTAGACTGACTGAGCTGGCGTTGGAAAACTGCGCCCCCAGTGGATGTCCTTCAGTCTTCTATCTGATTTGGCTCCAGTTATCTGCTCTTCGCCCCGACCAACCTGTCCGACGTACTGAATGATTACCTTGTTGTTGGATGCTCTTCGTGGAAAGTGGAGGAGGGCGTAGACCTCGTCCCTTAGACTGTGACATCGCCATGTGTACCTGGGTCGAAGTTAATGTAAACAAAAACATTCTTCGAAATCAAGGCATTGATGACTGCATTGGCGGAATAGACTGTGACATCGCTATGTTGGCTGGCGGCATAACCTTTTGGAAGGTCATCCGCAAAGAAGATCAAGTAAATGCACAGACGGACTTGAATTAACTTTGGCAATGGTCAAACAACTGGCCCCTCCCCTTTCATGTTACAAAATCCCACATTCGGCGAATCGGCAGAAACAGTACTGTGCTTCCGAGAGTGTACTACCTACCTCATCGGAGGGTCCTCACTCAAGTCATCACTCAGCTGCTCGAAGGTGGCCAAATCAGCAATGGCCAGCTTGTATCTCATCAAGCGCGCTTTTGCTATGTTAGATGAAGTATGCTTTGGTAAGGTATTTCGGATGTTCCTATAAAGAAAATTAGGAATTACCATTTAAACCTGGAGACAGTGGACTGCCAAAGACTG